TTCCCACCCTGCCCCAGCCAGCGTGTCGGGCAGGGCTAGTCCGGCTGCTTGGCCCAGCAAGGGGCAATGAACAGGAAGCACAGGCGGCACCAGCAGCACGGAATGGACTTTCCTGCAAACCTCCACGTGGAACGTGGGCCCTGGCGTCTGCCTAGAACGGCCTGAGCCAGGGGCCCGTGACAAACTCCATCTTGGAGCTGTGTGTTCCTGCAGGGAGCAATGGGAGACCCGCCATGGCCCAGCACGTAGAAAGGGCCCTAGGGGCAATGAACAGGAAGCACAGGCGGCACCAGCAGCACGGAATGGACTTTCCTGCAAACCTCCACGTGGAACGTGGGCCCTGGCGTCTGCCTAGAACGGCCTGAGCCAGGGGCCCGTGACAAACTCCATCTTGGAGCTGTGTGTTCCTGCAGGGAGCAATGGGAGACCCGCCATGGCCCAGCACGTAGAAAGGGCCCTGGGGGCTCCTCCAGCGTCGTCAGCCCAAAACTTCTCAGGGTCTTTGCCATGAACCAAGGCTTGGAACAAAGGACGGAGGGATGGCCCCTCCCAGCAGCGCCTGTGCTCCCAAGCCGGCACCAAGCGCTAACTCGCTCCCTCCCTCCCTCCCTCCCTCTCTCCCTCCCTTCCTCTCTCCCTCCCTCCCTTCCTCCCTCCCTCCCGACTGTGGATTCTAACGGACGGGCCCAGCGGGCTCTTTGGGGTAAGATCCGAGCTGTAACTTGCCCCGGGACTGTGGCGGGTCCTTTGGGACTGGGAGAACCTGTTGGGAGTTGGGGGATGGGTTTCCAGGACCCCTCCCCGGTGTCAGGAGCGGTGCTGGTCGTGGTGCAGGAGAACTGGGCTGTTGCGGGCTGACTCCTTGCTGGCCCACGTGGCAAACAGAAGTTCTCGGGGTGGCTGGTTTGGAGGACGCCCTGTCTTGGGCTGTGAGCAGCCCTGGCTCTAAGCAATCTGCCCTGAGCTGACCCCTCAGCAGTGCCCCCAGACGCCCCTGGATTACACCCCTCAATCGGTGGTGGATGCCTGCTGCTGTGTCTCTCCCAGGCTGAAGGGAAGAATACAAGCACAGAGCCCCTGCTCGTAACGTCACACTCCAAAACCCATACGAGTAGCACAAACAGAACCAGCACGGCCTCAGCTTTCATCAGACGCCTCACCTGGCCACTCTGCACCGAATGCGGGGCAGACACACACCAGTGGGTGCAACAGTGATCTGCCTGCCCCCATGGGAATCCAGTAACGGACAGGGGAGGCCGCAGCGGGAGGGATGGAGGGGGAGAGATGGAGAGGAGGGATGGAGGGGGAGCGGATGCAGGGGGGGGGTGGGGACGGACAGGGGAGGCCGCAGCGGGAGGGATGGAGGGGGAGAGATGGAGAGGAGGGATGGAGGGGGAGCGGATGCAGGGGGGGGGTGGGGGGGGGGGGGG